CAATCTACCTGCCGTAACATGTCTTCAAGTCTCTCCTTGGCCTCCATCATGGTAATTTTCAGTGTGTTGACGCGGATGATCGAAAATATCGGCGGCGTTTTCATGATACAGCCCATTGTTAATAGCGTCCTAAGTGCACTATAATTGTTACAGTGACCGTCACTGTAAACTATTTGTAGTAGAACCTGAAGCGACGGAAACAAATAATAAAACAAACGAAAATATTCTTTATAAAGTTTATTCACAACCGATCAGTTTCAGCAACGAATAAAAAAATATATAGCAACTATTAGGATATAATACATATGACATCAGAATACATTACAATATACTATCAAAATGCTTCGCAGCGAACATTTCTGATCGTATCTATACCTAACTTTGTTCCGTAGATATGCAAACGCATGGGCAAATGTCCTCGAGCCCGTGTACCAGTGATGGATAGCGGAACGTTTCAGGAATATGTGGATCAGCTGTGAAACAAGCAGTGAATCTCACGTGCTACTAAACTGAATATTTGCATTTGAACGTATTGAAATGTATATTTGAAACATTTCACATTTGAATATTTGAAACAAATTCACAGTAAGGTGACCGCTTTGAACATCATATACAAACGTACATAAAAATTATGCAAACACGTGCTAAATAACGGATGAACGAATGACATAACACGACGTTCATTCGTGGTCGTAAGAGACTACGCACCAATAAGACAAGCACTTGCTAAGCGCCAGAAACAATGTGAATTTCAAATGTTCGTCAAACGTCATTCAGTACCGTAAAATGTCTAGCAGTTAAAAGAGATTCAATCGCCCGATCAGTCTAATACGTGTTCATTTCTTTGAATCAAAACGATATAGTGCCGCATACGCTTCGAGTGGACAAGTGCTGCCTTCTATGGCTTGACGACAAGGACAGCAATTTTGAGGCGAATAGCGACCATACGGTGGGGAGGAGGCGTTTTTAAAGTAGTGATAGCGGTGATGGCTATGAGTGCAACAACGACACATACAGTGACGATGAAGGTGCCTACGACGACCATGACGCTGTTTACGGTGCCGATCACAATGCCCATCCAAATCGTTGGCGAGAATGACGATGTCTATGCGGACGATAGCACCGTTTACGCGGTTGATGACTATGCTTGCAATGGCGAGCAAAATCAGCTGGTTTCCTCAATCCGTTGGGGTCCGATGAGACCATCATATTCGCACTTGGCTCTAAACTGCGGCATGAAACATTTATTCCCAAACAACTTAAAGAATGCATCGAACCTTAAACTGAATATTTGTATAAAGTTGTAGCAAGTCATTATTTTCATAGCTCATTCCCGGTAGCATTCACAACTTTGAACATAAATGAAGAAACCACTAGAAATAACTAGGAATTACTACTGTTGTCCAACTATTGCTTCTTATCTAAAGTAGGTAATCGTAATGTTACTGTGAAGTACGGACTACATGCCTCTGGTATCTGAAAACTAACAGCGAAAATATTTCACTGAAAAAAAATTCACACGAGCCTGCGAAGAACTGAAATTTAAATAAGCGAGAAATGGAACACTAGACAAGTCCAAAAAAGACGTGCAATTCGGGACCCATTACCTGTCACAGATATAATTTCTTGACATATGAGAAATACGCCATAACGTAAAACGGGATAGCGAAGTTTCACTGCTAGCGGGATAGCGAAGTAAATGCGTTTCGTTACCGACACCGGAAGCGTAACAGCAGTGAATGAAAGAAAAGTCAAATCAGTGCTGCCGCACAATGCCGAAAGTCATCCGATATTTAAACTTAATGGCCAAGTGACAGCTGTGTCGCCAAAATTTAGACTTATGTCAGAGGATGACGCAATATTTCTTGCATGTATAGTGCCTACTTGTCAGAATTGGAAGTGACTCACTTATTACATGCTCATATCTGAATTTAACTTTAAATTACCGAAACAGTCGCATCACTGATGTAGACTCCTACGACTTCTGAGTACCTGGCAGCACCGTAACGGATTGTGGACAGCAGTTACTCAGTTTTGAAGTTAATCAGTCTGTACATCCTACCTGCACAAATTCCATGGAAATCGCTACCGTCATAAACCACGTTGAAAATTTCTGTTGGGAATTTCTTGAACAAAAGCATGCCCGATATCATCCCGGTTTTGCTGAGATCGCAAGCCGT